GTTGGGAAGAATAAACGAGGGACAGGCGAGCAGGATGAGGCATCTGGGGACAGCCGCCAGAGTGACAGCCCTGCGTCCAGCCGTGAGGTGTCTGCAGCCCGTGCCAGCGCCGGGAGGACGCGTGCCCGCAGGACGCCCTCCCCCACGGCCAGGCCCGGACACGCCTGTCAGGAGAAAGCCGATCCCTGACAGGAAGTAGATCAAGAGTGGGAAACAGCTGAATTCCCAGAGAGACCAAGTGGTTCCTGTGGGTTGCTTTACTCAGACCCGTTGTCCCTGAACTTTCCAGCTGCTGCCTTATCTTGCCTTGCTATCGGAGAAACTGGAGAAGAGAAAGACCCACGGGTCATCCGGCCCGTTCCTCCCTGGACTCTGTGGCTCATTCTTCCCACAGTCCGTCCGCTAGGATTCTGCCCCGTCTCGTTTCCAGGTGGCAGCGTCCCCTCTTGTGCCTTGGGAAGTCATTCACTCCACAGCCCTGTGGCCGAACCCCAGGGGATCCCACCCTGGCCAAGCAAATGACCTCCTGTTTACCTTTTCTGTCCTCACCCCCTCCTCTGCGGCTCAGTATCTGGAGAACTCGGGAGCCCTTAGGGCAGTGAGGGGCAGAAGCGCTCGGAGCATCCGCACTGGCCTCTTCAGAAGCAGTCCGGAGGCCTTCAGCCAGAGTTCACAGGGGTAGCTGGCTCCTGTGGCCAGAGCTGCTGCCGGGCCCCGAACTTCGCCACGCTGGGCAGCCCCCTAGTGTGGTGGCCCCGGCCGTGGTTGGGGACCCCAGCGAGACTCCCCTCAAATTTACCGTTGCCGTGACTGAGCGAGCGGCTCCACGTGGGCCTCTTCCTGGCTGGGGGGCCACAGGGTTTCCTCCTTTGGGGGCACTGTCTTTCCGGTGTCTCGAGCATGTTTCGTTTTGGCCTTTGTAAGGCTAAACTTCCTAGGGCCTATGACTTTACCCCCGGCCTCCTTCGCAATGAGAGCTCCTCCCAAGTCCACGAGCCCACCTCGTCCTTGGGATGATCAACAAGTAAGTGGTCTGACCATCCCAGTAGGACGGTGCAGAGGGCCTGGCACGGAATCGGGATCAAACAGGCCAGTTTTAATGACCGTTTCCACCCACTGTGCGACCTTTGGGATTTTAAGCAAGTTTATTTTAACCTCACTGAAGCTCGGTTTCCTCATCTCTAAGTAGGAAGAATGAATATCTACTTGATGGGGTCATTTCGAGTGAAAGAGTAAAATGCTTGGCATGGGGTCGTAATTATTAACCTAGCTCTTCTGTTTCCTTCTCTCTGTCGGAACTTGATCTGGCATGGCCCAGAGGCTCCCAGCCCTCCCTTTGTAGCATTAGAAGCAGTTAGGATATAGGGACTCGAGACCAGCACCCCACCAAGGGAACCCTAAGGGCCCAGGCTCTGTTCCCGGGTGCGGAAGAGAAGTAGCTGGTGCCAGGGCAAGAATGGCAGCCTGCGGCCATGGTGTATGCCAAGGCGAGGCTCTGGTTTGGCCAGGTGGCCCTCCGCCCGGGCGTGGGCCTTCTTTTCCTAGGAATGGGCACCCAGATACCATCTAAAAGTATGTGAATTCTAAGTGCTCTGGAAACAAAACCAAGGCTACAGAGAAAGTTTAGAAATACAAAATGTAGCCTTCATGAAAAGAAAGTGAACTTCTCCTTGAAGAAAACCAATTCTGACAGGGGAAAAAAGGCAAATCAACTCCAAATGGGATCATGTTTTATTCAGGTTTTGTGCTGCCGGTGGGGAAGGCCAGAGCTCAGTGACAGGATGGGAAAGTGGGACACCCCAACTTCAAGCCTCATCACTCTGCCATGAAGTACTTCTCGCTTCACTGGGCTCGGCTCCTGGGGACCTCTAATGGCCCTTGATAGCAAACATAGTTAAAAATTAACAGACTGGCAGAATTAAATATGGATGACAAGCAGCCACTGTGGACTTAATCTGACACAGGATGTTACACGCTTGGGTGCCCTCGACCTGAGTGGCGTCTTGAGTGAACTTCTGGGGTGTCTGGGCACATTTCACATGCCTCTTTGAAGGCAAGAACCTGGCTTGTGCTTAGGACAGACAGGGAAAGAGTCTAAAAGCCCAGGAGAGAAAATTATCCCTGAAGGCTTATGGGTAATTAAGCCCGGCCTTGACTGGTCTTAGCAGGAGGTGTTCACAGGGGTCTAGACCTCGTCGCTGCCTGGGCTCAGGCCTCAGCAGCGTGCCACCATCTGCATGGGGAGATCTTGCAGGGGCATAGGGCTGGAGCAAATGTGTTTTTCCAGTTTGGGCGAGCACTGTGTTAGATAGGGCAGGGGTGCTATTTTAAAGAACCCTGTGAGTAGTCCCATAAAGATGATCATCTTTTTTGTATTGCAGATCAATCTAGTCTCTTTGGTGAGTTTGGAGTTTCTTGGACCGCAGTGTGCTCCTGGCTTGGCAGCCTCTCCTTAGCCTGGCAGCCTTCAGCAAAGTTTGCTGTAGGCCCTGACGTGCTTTATTCGGTGCTCAGAATGGATCCTTGGGCCTGGAGTGAGCAGGCCAGGGCTGGTTGTAACTAAAGAATGTGTGAGTGCCTGGCTGCAGTTGTTTCCATGTTGGGAGAGCCCCAGCAGGGTAGTCAGCGCTCCTTCTCGGGCCCAGTGTAGAAACCTGAATATCCATGCCTTAGAAAGGAGAGCCCGGCTCTGAATAGATGGTGCTGGGGAAATCTGTGTTCAGGTACAGCACCTGCTTCGGGAAGGGTATGAAAATCTTCACTGCTTCTGACAGATTGGATCAGACATCCAGGGCACCTAGCTGGTCTGGTGGTCTTCCAGCTCTGACTAGTTTTGTTAAGAGCTAGAAACTTGGATGCCATATTGGCATGCCTCAGCCTCCCAGATCCACCGAAAGTCACCCCCTGGAAGGGGTCTTCCACACCAGCATTTCTCAGGAAGCTCAGGTGAACATAATAAAAAGATTCTGTGGGCAGATAAACTTGGGAAACCCAGGGTTTAAATCAAGTCAAACGGGATTTTTCATGGTGGAACTTCTCCATTCCGCTGAAGGGGCAGAGACCACATTTCTCTCCAACTTCCTTGACCACAGAGCATCTCTAGACAGCCTGCTTCCAGCCACACTTCCGAAACCTCACACAGGAACAGTGTCTCTCGAACTTGGATGTGTGCATCATCATCTCCCAAAGGGCTTGTGACATGCAGGGACTTGGGTTTCTCTCCCCGGGCTTTCTGCATTTCTGACAAGTTCCCTGGTGACGCCAGTGGGCCAGGGACCACACTCTGAGAACTGCTGGTCTAGACTGATCCCTTTATTTCATGGAGAAGAAAACAGCACCTGGTAGGCACTTTTCGTGCTATTTCTGAAGGCTGGCGTGGTGAGGACAGGCGGCCCCTGGAAGGGGGTGGGGGTACAGCACGGGTCCGTGGTCTCTCGCCGCTTGCTCCGCACTGTCTGCTGGAGGGCTGAGGGCTCCGCTCTCGAGACCAGTCAGGGTCTTCCTGTTCGGCAACATGCTCGGAACTGTGAATTCTGTATGTACTTCCCTCCGCTGGGCCTTAGTTTCCTCATCTGTAAGTGGAAGAGGATAGAAATGACTTTTATGGATACTTACTACTTTCTCTAGCATTCCAGTTTATTTTTGCTCTGGGGTATTTCTGTTTCTGGGTGTTCTCCTCTCCTGTCCGAGCTCTCATACACGTCGCGGGAGCCAGTGCCATCTGTGCTAAGGTGGGGGGGACCTCAGTGTTACTTTGCAGGGCCGCTGTGTTTTCGAAGAGCATTCCCGAAGAAGTGTGGTGGTGGAATCCCATACAGCTGGCCCCCGGGTAGTGAGCCGGACGGTAACGACTCGGCAGTACTGAGTTGGAGCCGAGAAGCGTCCCGGCGTCTTCCGGGCGCTTCTGGGCCCACAGGCTGCAGTGCGTGCGTGCGTGCGATGGTGTGCTCAGCGGTCTGGCGGAGCGAGCAGCGGTGTTGCCGTGGATCACATATATCGGTAGAGGTTCTTCTAGGGATGTGAGAAGCTCTTGGGATCGTAGGCAGGGTTGTGAGTGTGCAGTTGGGGGGGGGTGTGCACGCGAGCTCACGTGCAGTTTTCTACAGACAGGATCCTGTCTTACATGGAAGGCCAATGGCACAGACTTAGCGCTGCTGTATTGTCCGTGGGCAGGGCGCCAGGGAAGCACAGGTCTCCCCAGCGTTGACGACGCTCTACAGCAGCCGCTGGGCAGTGGCCCGGAGTGGCCACAAGTGACCCGGAGCCAGAAGCCACAGCAGAACAAGCAGCCCAGGTGGGGGTCCGCCCCCCCAGCCCCGTCCCGGAGGACAGCAGTAGTTAGCACCCAACAGCTCGCTCGCCTGGACCAGCGCGGGGCAGGCAGCTCAGGCTCGGCCGGGCGGGGGCGCTGCCCTCTGCTGGCAAGTGCCTGCCACTGCACACCTCCGAGCTGAAAGCGGAGTGAGAAGGGCCACCCTTTTGGCAGGGGCTGTGGTGTCCAAGCCATGGGGCACGGAGTGATGAATTTCGGGGCCTATGTTGCCTCCATCACCACCACATCCTCCCCGAGAATCAGCCAGCGGGCCATCTTCAGCTCGGCTGAGCTGGGTACGACTTCTAGAGCCCACGGCCCAGAGTCAGTCTGCTTAGCACCCTGGAGTGCTCAGGGGTTCTAGACCAGGCTGACTACAGGGCTCCGGGTTTGAGGAGGGTGTGGGTGGAAGAGGCCAGCATGCACCCGAGGTTGGCTGAGGCTGGGGTGGGCGTGTGGGAGATGAAGGGCTTCCTTCTCGCAGTCACTGTCACCAAAAATCATGCCATCCACTGCGCCCCCACCCCCTGGTCAGACCTCCCTCTTCCTGTGTCTCTGAAACACCAACATGTCTTGGCCTCATGGGGCTCAGCGCCCCGGCCCCACACCCAGGCAGCACCAGTTGCCACCACCACGCTCCCTCCGACTCCAGTGCACACAGACCCATCCCCTCCCGCTGTGTGTTTAGGTTCCCAGCTCCCCAGCTGCCATGGGGCTGTGCCCCCGTCCCCTCCTTTACCACCTGTCTCAGGAAGGGAGCTCGAACTCTGCCCTTTGCTTAGTGAGCAAGTGGATTCAGATGCACAAAGCCATAAGCCATGGGTAGGTATGAAATTTTTGTCTTTCACTCACCCTCTCCTCCCTTTTGCCTCCTCCTCCTGCACCCCTGTACTCCTCCCTCCCTTTTCCTTCCTATCCTCCCACACTTCCCTTCTTTATTTCTCTCTTCTTTATCCTGCATATACTCCTAAATTCACAAAGTGACATGTTTTTAGCCTACCTGCTTGCAAAGAATTTCTGGTCCCTCATCCCTTTAATTGCTATTGAGTGTTGAAAATGACTCTGGCCCTGCCTTAAATGAACTTCACTACCTGCTGGTGGCTCCCGAGGAATACAGCTTTGCCCTCTCACAATGAGGGGGACCCCCTCGAGCTGGTGATCTGATTTCTAAGAATATCCAGTGTGATGCCCCGAAGGATCTCTCATGCGCAGCTGGCCCAAGGAGTTCCCTGACCTGGATTCCTGGCATGGGGAGAAGCTCAAAACACATCTGTGGTCCTTTTAAGTCTTCATTTCCCAAGTAGGTGAGGCCCCAAGTTGGGATCGAGTCCCCCAGTGTGGCCCATCACCCTGCATTGAGAGCCAGAGAGGAAGGGGAGGCCCATGGGGTAGAAGGAAATGCTGAGGACTTCTGCATGTGGACTGAGACCAAAGGCTGGGCATCCTGTGTGAGCATGTCTGGGGGCCCACTCCTAGACCAGTCAACGAGGGCTAGTGGAGCCTGTGCCCTGGATCCTGACCCCGCTGGGTTCTGTGCCCGTGGGATGTCACTCAGAATACCCAGCTGTCAATGGATTTCCCCACATGTAAAAGCAGGTTAGAAGAGGCAGGAGGTCTTCATCAATCCCCCAGCACCCCCGGGTTCTGCGGAGTTTCCTTGCAGGTTCCAGGCCCCCTGCACCTCCACCTCTGCCAGGATGCTGCTTCATCTGTTTATGCTTTGGAGATCTGAGTAAGATGCCATGTGAAAAGGGGGTTCTCAAGCAAAATCTCTTCTACTAAACCATCGACGTCCATTTGCCCGGGTAAAGTTCCCTCCAGCATTGCATTCTACTCTAGAAACGTGTTGGGCCAGACCCAGGTCGAAGATCCATCTTTCTCCTCCTGCCACACTGGGGAGGATGCCGCTCTCCACAGAGCCATCCAGCCCTCCTGAGCATCTCCCTCCCTTTGATGTAATTGCTCTCCCTCCCCCACTCCCAGCTGCCTGTGTTGCGGGGAGGCCATGCCTCCTCCGGGGAAACGGGAGCAGCGGTAAATGGGCATTTCTTGTTTCTGGCCAAAGGCTGCGGGGCAAAACTGACGTTGCTGACAGATGGACATTTGTTAAAGCCAAAGTGCTCTTGCCCTTTTGTTTGTTTCTTCACACTTTTCCTCAGCACAGGAGCGGGAACATTCTGCCAAGTGGACAAAATATCACTCAGTCCAGTTGTTTTGTTGCTGGCCTCCCACTTTGGAAACTTCATGGAAAAGATGGGTCTTCCTCAGCAGAGTGAGCGGAGGGCTTGGGGTACCAGATACCCCATAGGGCTGAGAAGCCAGAACCCCATTTCTAAAAGAACAGGAGCAGAAGCTCAAGGATGTCCAGGCCGGCTTACTGGCACGGATGGCTCATGAACGCGTCCCTCCCTTACCGGAGCAGATACGTGTTTCCACACCCTGCTGAGCAAACCAGGAGACGGCCTGTGCCCTCGGCACAGCTCTGCTGAGCGGGTGCAACCAAAGGGACTCGCTGGGCCAGCCTCAGGCCAGGTCCGGCCAGGCGGCGGCTGGCTGTTCGCCGTGGCAAGGAGGGTGGGAGCGGGGGAGCTGCTGGGCCCGGCCCGCTCCCTGGGGCGGGCGCTCTGCTGAGAGCCTGGCCCGTGTTCACTAAGGGCACGTGGACGACCCCTCGGGCTGCTGTTCTGGTCCCCTGCGCCGCCGGCACGTGTAAGTGGGCTCCGGCTCGGAATGGTGAAGGCGGCGGCAGCCTGGCAGGCTGCTCCGTGGGGAGCGAGACCGTCCAGTGGGAGCCCTGCTTCACCGCCTTCTCCCCACGTGTCTTTCCAGATGCGCTGGCTCCCTCCCTCCGAGGCTACTTCTCAGGGCTGGAAGTCCCGTCAGTTCTGCTGAATGCTATGTAAGTACGTGGTTTGCGCGGCCGCCGCGCGCCCCGGGCGGAGCAGACGTCCGGGACGTGGGACGCGCGGCACCCACACCTTCCAGACTGCCTGTTACCTGTGGTCGCCCGTCGTCCTCAGACCACTGGCGGGGCTCCTCTGTGGCCCTGCGGCACTGCCGGGGCGTCCGCCTGGGTTGAGGGAGACCGAGGGATGTCACCCTGTCCGCGTCTCATCCCGCTCTTCGCCGTCCTAACTCAGCAGCCAGCGCTGCTTCGGGGCCGCGTCGGGGGCCGGGACACCGGATGACGCAGCGGCAGTTCACCCGCTGCCCGCGTCACTCGGCCACCGGCCTCCGCTGCCCCCAGGGCGGGCTCGTGGGGCCCTCGGCCGTTTATCAGAGCTGACTTCCATGCGTGTGTGCGTGTTAGAGCTTGGGCCAAGCTCTCCCTAGTAGGCTTGCCTTACAGTGTCTTGTCTCGAAGGAAACAATGTGCTGAATGGGCATCTTTGCGCCTAACCTTGCTTCAGGGAACTACCAAGTCAGTGTTTTCTCTATAAATGTATAATTTGTGTGAAATCCCAAACGCCGCCTTTAATTCGGTATCTTGACTGGATCTCTGTTAAATACAAAGCACTGTTAACTCTGAATTCTGATAGGGTGTGTGAATTTGGGGGGTCTGCCCTCAAGGAAAGTCTCTGAGATGACACAATTCTACAGTCTGCGGTTTCTCTTGGTTTATATCATTCCTTCACAAGACAGGAAGAAAAATGAGTGTAGGGAGGGACCAGAGCTTCATCCATTTAGAAATGCTAAAGAGATCATGCAGAATTATGTACATAACTATACCTGATGCTGATCTTTCGAAGGACATATGTGGGAAAAACTGGCCTCCGGTTGACTTAGGTTCAGCTTCAGTGGGGAGTCACAGAGGTCAAGGCCCTCCTAGTGAGGAGGAAGGAGAGCACTGAATAGGCTTTTCAAAGAGTTCTGGGATTTATTTTCCACAGGCAAGTTGCCCTGTTGACCCGAAGTCTCGCTTGGTGGGTCATGTCACCTTCATTTCAATTTCCCGGGTGACTGCTGAGCGTGGACTTCACTTGCTGAAGTCTTTACCACCATAAGAGGCCAGCACTTACAGAGAGCTCCAGTCCTAGGTCGGAAGGCAGGCATCTTTGTTCTGGAGGAGGGGCCTCACCACACAGGAGGATGGTGGTAGGCAGCAGACCCACGCCCTAGCTGGTCAGGATTCTTGTTCTGCTGGTGGGGTAATGAGTAAGTTGACGGATCACATTTCTCTGCTTTAAGACATCAACTCAATAAGTTAGAATTGTGCCTATTCTTCCCCTAACCAGACCTATTTCTGAGTGTGGCCAGAGCAACACTAGTCCTTGGGGATGATTGGAGGCAGACTACATAAATGTTGCCAAGGTCAAACAGTTAAACACTTTTTGGGTTTTTTTGTTTTTTACCAAAAGATTCTTGGAACCTTTCTTATAACATGAGCATCATGAATCTGTAAAATTAGGGAACTCAGGGATGCAGGATTCCTCAAACTCATCTGAGACAAGGGAGCCCTCTCTTTCACAGACCCTTAGGAGAATGTTGTTTTACATAGAGCACATTTTGGGAAACCATGCCCTAATCTCTTATCCGGAACCCAAACCAGTGACACCCACATACAGAGATCTTTGGGCCAGTGGTCATTATGATAGAGTTACCACTAATCTGTTTATGATGAGGGAAAAATTAGGACAGTGTTAGATTTTTTTTTTTTAAGCTGCTTGATTTGTCCCTTATTCTGAAATTATGTTGTATGTGTGTTCAAGTACCCATTTTACATGAGATGGTAAATATCCGTGAATGGCAATTGCACTTTAAATGTAGTTTCTTAGAAAAAAAGTCAGTAGTCCATGGTAGATAAAAGTTTGCTGCTTAGGGGGGACTTCTTCTTCCTGGAAACACAATTTGTAAGCTTTGAGGTATATTCTAGGGTCCATTATGTCCAGGACTTCCCAAGTCCATGTGCCATACCCGCATGCCCATAATTAATTTTTAAAATGACATGTCCCCAGCTCTCTGTTCTTTCTTCGTGCACAAAAGCCTTAGTCATTTCGCCACGAGGGACCCTGCCCCCGTTGCCAGGGTGAGGCGGGTGCAGCCCTGTCGTCCGGCTCCAGAAGGCACTGAGCGATCATGCGCTCTGCCTCCCATGACCGTGCGCTCATCCCTCCGTTCTCAGAGGCTGCTAGGTGTTCACCCGCAGGTATACCCAGGACTGTGTAACTGGGATTTCTGAGGCTCGCAGAAGAGTTGATGGGTTGGGGGTCGATCTGGCATTCAGCATAAGCAGGTAGTTGAGGAAGTTGATGAAACCGGAAGAGCGGTCAGTGCGACACAGCCTTGAGGCTCACCTGGCCGTAGGGTCCACAGAGGACGAGTGCCCGGAGGAGCCGCTGAGGGCTGGAGCCCGGAAGGGCCGTGGTGAGCTGCTGGGGTCAGCAGTAGCAGATGGTGTAGGAAACTTGAGTAAGATGAGAGAATACCTCCGAACCCGGCAGTTGCAGTTGGCCGAGGATGGTGGTGGCATAGGGCCTGAGGAGGGATTTTTTTTTAAGCATTTATACAGGCCAAAGGGGAGGCATGATGGTTAAGCAGCGGCGCACGGTTCCAGCCAGTGGGATCCTGCCCTTTGTTTCTATCCGCTCACCTAAGTTGTTCCAGATCATCCTTCCCCACAGACCTTCCCACCGGAGACCTAGAGGCAGCAGTGGCTACCAAAGAAGGCCTAGCAGGTTCCCCCTTCGGAAGTATGGCTTGTGAAGCTGTCGGACCCGTATGCAGGTGCAACATCTCCTGTGGATGCACCGTTTGTTCTGAGCTAGACTTGGGCCATGGGCCAGACTCCTTCCTCGGGGTCTAGAGGGCGCAGAGGAGGGGCAGTAGGCAAGGAGGATGGGTAATTGCACTTATTACCACCGCACTTGGGGTTAGGACTCTAGTCTCCCATCCTGCCTAAGGTTAGACCAGTTCAGTGTGGATCCGTTACTCAGGCTCTTTCTAGTCTCTTGGATCAAGTCCTTGAGCTAATAGTCCAGGCTGCGTAATCTTAGGGAAATGCAAATTAGACTTGAGAACAGTGGTTCTGATGAAACAATAAATATTTTAGTGCAAACTGGTCTTTCAAAAAGGCCAGATGTAGGATAGGTGCGGCCAGTGACGTGGCCTTCCTCTGTTTGCCAGGGCGCAGCGGGTGTCCTTCCTCTCTGGGAAGATGGCACCCGAATAGAAGACAAGAGCAGGAGTGATGGCTGGTATCAGACATGACGGCCTATACATAGACCCAGACCGGCGCTCAGTCCCCACACGTGGAGCTCTGGGGGCCACCCTTCCAAGTCCTGAAGCGCCCAGGCCCTGCAGGGGTTTTTCATTTACTCACTTTGACCTCCTACTGGGAAATCAGGGACTAGACTAGAAAAGTAAATAAGCTCTTTATTCTTTAAGTAAACATATGTGTCCAGTATGTGCTAGATAGAAAAATGTGCATGCAGACCAGGCCTGTGCCCCTGAGGAACTCCAGTTCTAGTGAGTGGGAGTCATGGATATACATTTTAAAGGGAAAGAGTTCCTGCTGAGGATGCTCCAGGATGGGCTTGTGAGGAAAGCCCCTTGGGTGGGGGTGTGTTTACCGTCATCCGTGGCAACTTAAGACCATCAGAGGGGTGGTGTCATTGGTGTTTTAATTTGTTCAGCATCCTGCTTGATGGTGTTTAGTCTGGCTACAAGTTCTGTCTGCTCATCATTGGAGTTTTGCTAATGGTCCAGCCATGGGCTGGACAACCCCAGATTACATGATAATCATTGAAAACGATCCATTTCCCAGATGTGTTGAGAACAGGAGAGCATGAGCAAGTTTTTAGTAACTCTTTAGAGGGAATGAGTTACACAGCCTTCCTTGTTGGGTATCCAACAATGTAGTTAAATCAAAAAGAGAGAGAGTTGGGAACCGGGGGTGGATGTGGGAGGGCGTTCTTTAAGAACTCCGAAAATCTCCCTGGCCTAGGACCAAGACCATAGCACCCAAATTACAAGCACATGTAGTTACAGCATCAACAAATGAGAGAAGGACACGGCAAGAGATAATAAGACCGGAATGTAAAGCTGTGTAGTCCTCATGTTTTGTTTTGGGAGGAACAGCCTCGTCTGTCTCTGGCTGTGAGCACGAGGGCCTTGGGGATGCAGCCATTGTCCGGGGAGCCCCAGGAGCCGGGTGTCAGGCAGAGCTGGGAGCTCAGACAGCGCTGTGGTCCTGCAGGCACCCCTGCCTTCTCCCTAGAAGAGCCCCGGGTGGGACGTCTGGGTGGCTCAGTTGATTAAGCATCTGCCTTCGGCTCAGGTCATGATCCCAGGGTCCTGGGATTGAGCCCCGCATCGGGCTCCCTGCTTGGCAGGAAGCCTGCTTCTCCCTCTCCCACTCCCCCTGCTTGTGTTCCCTCTCTTTCTGTCAAATAAGTAAATAAAATCTTTAAAAGAAGAAGAGGAGGAACCCCGAGGCGCCGTGCCCAGGACCCGGGGCAGTGTTTGCCCTGAATCGCCACTCCCCCTCCTGTTAACCACGGTCTGTGTCTCAAGTTCGTTAGCACAGTCACTATCCAGTGAACATCTGCAGCAAGTAAGGGACTGTTTGGGCTGCTAGGGATACAAGGGTAAGAAAAGCAAACACAATCCTTGCCTGCATGGAGCTGACCTCCATTAACAGGGGGGAGATGGGTCATAAATCACGAAGACACACACTAGGTCAGGCGGTGAGACGGGCTGAGGGGAAACTAGCAGAGCGAGGGAGGGGCTTCGTGTGCCACGGGGGAGCGCGGGGCTCGCGGGGCTCGGGGTCAGCCTGGCGCTTACGGTCAGGCAGCGACCCAGAGCTTCCCCAGATTCATACGGGCTTCCTTGTTCAGAACAGGCTCGCTTGACTCAAGTTTAGAGAATAATTGAACCTCTCCGGTCTTCTTGCCTTCTCCTTTGCTGAGTCCAAGTGAACAAGCTTGCGCACAGCAGGCCTTCGCTGGGCCAGGCGTTAGGGGAGCAGAGAACGCCCCGCAGCCGGCGCGGTGTCGCCCTGGTCCTGAGTCCCCGAGCCCGGGGTCTGTTCGGTTCTTGTGTGAGCTGTAGGGATGGGCCCGAACGCCTGCACCGTGTCCGCGACTGGGGACCCGTCCAGCCACTGCCGTGCCCTCCCCGCTCCGTAAGGGAAGGCACCACAGCCCTCTGCTCGCCACACGGGCGCTGAGCTCACCTACGCGCCGCACCTGGTAGGGCGGTCCGAGCGGTGATTTCCCTGCCTTGGCCCGTCCCCTGAGCGTATGCACCACGAGAACTGCCTGACGGTCCCTGGAGGAAGTTAAAAGAGGGTGGCCGAGTATGAAGACCCGGCCATGGGGTCTCAGCGCCTTCACGGGGCAGGTGAGGGCCACCTACAGGAGCCCCTGCCCCACCCCCACGCCACACCTCGGCTGGAAAGGGACATTCGGAAGGCCTGCGTGTTCGCTGTAAGGTCACAAATGAACACATTCAGACTTCCCTGCGGTGTTCTCTGTTCTTTGCGGAGTCGTCTTGGGGGTCCCTGTAGGACCGACTGGCCCGTGTGTGCTCCCTGTCCGCGGGGGCAGCCCTGGTGTGCAGACAGGTGCTACTGCGAAGAGCAGCCCGGTGACAGTGCCCCGTGCTCCTCACCCACCGGTCCGGAGTCACCCCAATGAGCTTCAGCCCAGACGCCTGGAGGGATGTGGCCATGGGTGGGACATCCTAAGCAGCAGGTGCCCCGAGTGCCACGCCGGTCTGGCCGTCCCCAGAGGTGCGGGAGGTGGGGAGAAGTTGGGGGAGCTGATAAGTTTTATGTACAAAGATGAATATTTCGGGGCACCTGGGTGGCTCAGTCGGTTAAGCGTCTGCCTTCGGCTCAGGTCATGGTCCCAGGGTCCTGGGATCGAGCCCCGCATCGGGCTCCTTGCTCAGTGGGGAGTCTGCTCCCTCCGCCTGCCGCTCCCCCACTCATGTGCTCTCTCTCTGACAAATAAAATCTTCAAAAAAAAAAAAAAGAAGATGAATATTTCTTTTCCTGTCCTCAACCCAATTTTCACTAGGAAACTGGAATTACATCTGTTAATTCTTTCATAATGTTTTTAAAGTGGAAATCTGGGCAAAACTTTCTTTTTCCTTAGTTCTGAGAAGAGAGATGTCCTAGGAGGGCAGTCTTTCCTTCCGGCTCACCCATAACCCCAGCGGAGGGTCTCAGCCCAGGCCCAGCCTCCCTGCCGAAGCCCAGGGGGGCATCTTCCCGTGCCAGCAGACCAGGGAGGCCTCTGTGGGGAACTCGGGGTTCGCGGCAGTGCCCTGCGCACTCCTGGTCACGAAGCCCCGTGTGCCCAAGTCCGCCTGTCAGTCTGCAGGCAGGAGGGCTGGACACGCAAGAGATGTTAGCAGGGAAGAGGGCCATTGGCATCCACGCGCCGGGAGGCCGGCGTCCTTCCTTGGCTCCAGGAATTCTCATGAAAACCAGCTGGCTCAGAGGCAGTCATGCCTGCGGAAGAATATTAAAAATTTATGATCTTCTGGGTCTCGGCACCTTCATATTTCAAAATTCTCAGACCCCTGGGAACAGGATGTAGTCACAAATGTTTCCTTTTAGTTTTTGTTTTCCAGAAGGTGCTTGGAGCAAAGTTGAGCTCACTGATGCACGTGACAGCACAGGATCCTCCTGGAGAATTGCTTTTGTGGCCTGGGGCTGACCAACGTTGTTACTGTGGTCTGAGGCAGCTCCTGGAGCTGGATAGGTTTGGGGGGCTTCCTCCCCTGGGCGGCTTCAGGTCCTGCACCTCCCCTCGACAGGGCTCTGGAACAGGCCTGGGGGTCCGGCCCTCGGAACTCGGCGCGGCTGCCTTGCCTCCTGGGCCGGGCGGCCTGCTGTTGCCGCAGCTTCGCCCTGGCCCGCCCCCCACGACGGACGCGCGCCTGCTCGGGTGAGCGTGTGAGGACCGCGTCGCCCACAGCACGCTTGGGCCCAGAGTCCCTTCCCCCCGGCCTTGGTGCCAGGGAGCCCCGGCAGCCACACTCCACCGCCGGGGCGCTTTCCCTCTGACCAGGCCCGACGCCCGTGGTCCCCAGGGGGAGCTGCCGTGCCGCTGGTGTGGTCATTCTCACCGGGCGCTTGTCCTCAGCTCCACCGGGGCGGCCTTGGCCCTTTGCCACTGACTCTCCGTTCTTTGCTCGCAGAACAGGCTGACCTTCGGCACCCAGGGAACCCACGGGCAGACCAGCGCTGGGGTTGGAAATGACCGCACACCGTTAATGGGCGATTTCTTTCTCCATCCCAGGTTCCAGGTGTGTGATGGTGGCTGCAATCTGTCTTGTGGGTATTAATGCAACCTTCACTGGTGGGTGCTGTGCTCAAGCCGTTCTACCAGACTGGAGCATGCTGGTGAGTCCCGCAGTCGGGGGCCGGACAGGCCCTCTGGGGAGGCAGCGTGTCCCGGGCGGGGCGCGGTGATGGAGACCAGTGTGGTCGGGACCGTCACCCCAGCAGCCCCGGGGATGGGCCCAGCAGCCTAGGTGTTAACACCTCCCCCAGGTGATCCTGGTGGGTGCTCCAGGTTGAGACGCGATGGCATAGAGCACTGGGGCCAGGGGTTTGCCCTTCATGATCTCTTCCAGCCACGGCGTGCTTAGGGAAGGGCGTCTGGGAGGGCAGTGGGGGGGGGGGGTCTGCAGACCCTCCGCGCACACGGTGAGGCCACCTGCACGTGCTCAGGCCGCAGCCATGGAACGAGCCATTCTGCCATCGGGAATTTACAGATAAATGACACTTTCCCCTTTTAAACCCTTACGCCTTTTCTGGAAATTCACCATTTTGGTGAGCATCTTTTAGAGATAGTATGTATATTCCTCCTGACTTCATCCACTTGTACTGAATACGGTGCAGCCCTCTCGGTGACCCCGAGACGTGTGCATGAGCCTCTTTGGAAAGAAGAGTGGCTGTCCTTGGGCACAGGCAAATGAGGCAGGGCTCTCACTGGACTCCTCCAGACTCTGGGCTTCCTGCCGGCTGGTGATTTTGGTGATTGTTCATCTCTTCGAGCGGTCCCTCAGCTTCTAGTAGTAAGCGTAGTCTAAAACAGTAATGTAGCGTTCCCGCAGGTGACCGGCCGCTGGCTGCCACACAGAGGGGCTACCAGGCTCTCTGGAAACTTGGCCTAGAACAACAGGAGTACCAAGGGCAGGCCCACAGCGGTTATGTCTCGGCCCAAATAAGGTGGCAAATTTCATCCCTACAAGGGGCCAATGAAGAAAAGATGAGTCAGAAAGAGGGCAAGATTCCTGCTAAGGACAGAGAACCAGGCAGATCTAGCCAAGGAGGTCATTACCACATTCTTGGGACTTAGGTAATTTCGTGCTCTCAGAGTAGAGCCCATCCAGAGGCAGGCACGTCGTGTGTGCCCCAGGGGCCTGCACTTGGGGTCTTTCCTCCCACTGACCAGACTTAACAGGGAAGCGTTTTCCACATCGTGTAGGGCAGCTAATGTTTAATCCCACCAATTCCTTAGCCTTCTAATTTATTGGGTGGTTCTTTTGTTGTCATGGTTCTTAATAACAGTGCCCACTCTATTCTTACCAATATTATCACCCGGTAAAACTTTTTTTTTTTTTTTTTTGAGATTTTCTTTTATTTGAGAGAGCGAGCGAGCAAGCACGAGTGTGAGTCGGGGGGAGGGGCAGAGGGAGAGAGAATCTCAAGCAGACTCCATGCTGAGCATGGAGTCCAGCCCGGGGCTCGATCTCACAACCCTGAGATCATGACCTGAGCCAAAATCAAGAGTCCGAGGCTTAACTGACTGAGCCTCCCAGGGGCCCCCGGTAAAACCTGCTTAAAGGACAAGATTTTGTTGGTTCCCCCCCCACACACACACACTCTGGCACACTTTAAACCAATTAAAATCTACCCATGTAATTTTTTGGAAGCAGGTTAGAATAACGATTTTTTTTTTTTTTTTAATGCAGTAAACGAACCCAAACATCCGTAATTCCAGGCAAATGCAGATGAGCCCAGTCAGGAAGCACAGCGGCCGGGGCACGCACGCGGTGACTTCATTTAGACAATGGAAGGAGCAGAGAAGGGGTGGGGGTAGTGCTGGGACTCGGGGCGGCCGGCCAGCACGGACCAGACGAGCTGGAGGGTGCCTTGGCACTAGCCATGTTCAGCGTGGGGCTCACCAGTTCCAGGGCCAGCCGTGGGTTACGAGAGCAGGTCTGGAGGTGGCCTGCTGGGCGCACGGCATGAGTTCCTGGGGCGGAGGGGTGCGCGCTTGTGGGCGCAGGTGGGGATGTGTGTTTAGAATGGGGGGAGCCGTTTCCAACTACAGGAGACTGTTCTCCTGGAGACTAGCCTGTGAACCTTTTAAAATGTCACCTAGGCTTTTTGTTACAAATTCATACCGGTATTTGGTTTTTACAGCTATAAAATGAAAACTATGTTCTATGTCTATTGGGAGTTGAGTAGAGGGGAATATTCCTTATCTGACTTTCGGTAAAAATGAATACATTTAGAGAAACTCTTGGGAAAGAAATCATTAGTCAGTAGACCAAGTGTATGTAGTAGATGGGGGAAACCAAATTTTTTTTACTGCTGGGAGAAAGAGCTCAGGGCTGAGTCCGGGGAGAGCAGGCCCCGTCTTGTCTGGCGTGGCAGCCAGCAAGCACCTTGGCCCCAAACCCAGCAGCAGCTGTGCCCGGTCCGGAGGGCCACAGGCTGATCTTTTTGATCAAGGACAACGGACATGAAGTGTTTAAGAATTATAGAATATTCTTTCAGACAGCAGCAGACATTCTCCATGGTCTTATACGGGACAGTTGCGACCTGCCTCCGGCGAGCTTTGTTCCACCTCTTTTCCTGCCCTGTCTCTCCGGTGACCGCCCTTCGGGAAAGGCTGTGAGCAGAAGCTGCTCAGCAAACAGAGCCTGACCCTCTCCCACCCCGCCCCCATCCCGCCACGGTGCTCCGTGTTCCCGGATGTCTCTGTATTCTGTTTAAAATGTCCTTGTTAATACATTCCAAGGTTTGAACTCCGTTCTTAGCTAAACCCCTTCCTTGTTTACAGGGACTGAAATAGCCACATTCTGACCTTCTGTTCAGTCTGGGAACATCTATGGCAATGGGGACGCATTCTTTTCCCATGTGAGAATTACATCTCCGCAGCACAGTTGGGGAAAAGCTCGGGAAACTATCAGCTCTCACCCCCCCCTTCTCTTTTCCCTCCAGAGCCTTCCTCATCGGCTGGAATGAGCCAGCCCCGTGCACCCTGCTTCCTGCTCAAGAGTCCGGGAAGAAGAAGGGGGCAGAGTCCTGGGAGGCCAGGGTGGGCTGCTGAGAGCCCAGGGGCAGCTGGAGGCCCCCCCCGCCACGGGCCGCTCGGGGAGGCCCCCATCAGGGCCAGAGCAGCCGCAGACACAGGCTCCGGGTGCTCAGCCGGGGTTGTTAGCCAGACTCAGGAGCCACCAGTCTCAGTGCCACGTGCCATTAACTGTCCTCCGTCGTTCCCATTTCCTTTAGTGGCCTGCATATGGGGGTGTGAAGTTCTACGTGCAAGTGACTATGGGGTGGAGGGAGGAGGACGTAGTCTTAGGGAGGAAGAGAATCCGAGCTAATCCGTGAGGAAGCGAAACAAATGGCCTGGACAGTGAGGACTCTAGTTAGAGAGCCGGCGAGCAGGCCCTGCTGGGGGGCGGGGGGCTGCCCGAGGGCTGGGGGAGCGCTCACACGGAGCTCTGAGCGCGAACAGTTTGTAAGACCAGGAGGAAGCTCTGTGCCGCGGGTTCTTGCCCAGAGTGGATTATGACCAGGCTTTTGAGGGCCTGGGGCGATGTGTTAGGGGTTTGGGTCTCGGCGAGGCAGGGGGAGCTGTTTTCGGAATCTTTGTCACCTGGCTGCCCGCGGCAAAATGAAGGGTCCGATCAGATACGCGTAGCAGGGGAGGCGAGCCCAGGATGGCGACGGTGGTGTCGGGAAGTGACAGTCAGCCGAGAGCGCGGGGCTGGGTGGAGGGTCGGAGACACAGGCGGAGCGGGGCGGGGGCGGGAGCCTCGTGAGGAAGGTGAGGTGGGGAGTCCGGGTTTAGACGCGGTGCCTGTGCGGTCATGGCAGAAGTGTCCAGGGCAAAGCTGACAGGAATGGGGACAGTTGTCCGGGAACTGGCTGTGGAACCAGAAAGGGCCGGAGTAGCAACGTGTTCTTGCCCAGAGACGGTCGCTGAGCTCTCCAGAGGAGAAGGCCCCCCGGCCAGGCGCCTGCGCAGGGCTGGGGGCGACCACGGGTGTCCTTGGCCTGCCGGGCGGCAGCTGTGCTTTCAGCCTCTGGCGCGAGGCGGCGTCCGCACGCGGAGCTGGGGCTGCTGTCGGGGGGCGGCCTCGGCAGCGCGGGCCCCTTAAGGCTCCCAGAGTCCGAGGGCGGCCGAGCGCCGTCCCCTGTGAATTGTCCCAAAGTAGCAGCCGCCGTAGAGGGACTGCCGTTCCTCAGAAACCGCTTCCTGGAACCAGCCCTCAGCTTGGGCTGCTGGCCCCGGTCAAGGTTGGGATGACGTGGGACTGTCGCCCCAGCGTCTCGTATCCGCTCCGTCTAAGCAGGGTTCCCTCTCTGCGGCCGCTGCCTCTTCCCAGTCTGCGGGGGAGGCTCCTCGGCGGTCGGGGGGCCCGTCAGGGCCCGGCTCATTGGGAAGGCCAGCTGCTGCAGGCCCAGGTACTGCCTGGCGCCGAGGCCCCTGCCACCCACCAGGGCTGCTCCAGGCCACACGCACCCAGTGTCCCCGCTGGGTACAAGTCGGGGGGGCGGCAACAAGATGCTTTCGAGAGCGGGCCCTTCCCCTCGCCCTGCTCACGGAGCAGCGCGGGTCCTGTGACATGTGCCCAAGACGGGGTGTGGCCGGCGACGCCCCTCCCGTGCTGGGCTCCAGGGGGAGGCAGAACAGAAAGTGGGATTTCCAGAAGGCGGGTCTCTCCTCCTGCATTCCTGGCCTGTCAGAGAGCTCTGCTGAGAAAGGCCGCGGGGGGGGGGGGGGGGGGGGGGGGAGGGGGAGGCGGAGGGGTGGGCACTGCAGGCCTCCCGGAGCTTGCTCTGGGAGCGTCTCCAGCCCCAGGCCCCTCTAGCTGGGCCTCTCCGTGAAAAGCGTAAACTAGCCAGATAGTGGCAACAAGCTCGAGAGAGGCTGAGTGTTACTGGAAGATGACAGGGGACGCTCTGCCTGTCCAGATCCCTGCCCTCGAAAGCGGCGCCCCAGTCTCTCCCGGGGAGATCGTTCCCTGAACCGTAGCTATGTGGTCATGAGGTTGGGTCTTCTGACTTGCCCTTTATTTCTGCCGTCACCTGCAAACGGGCTGTGCCAAGATACTCTGGGTCACAGCGTGGGTGCCCCAGCTCAGTGAGGGCCTGGCATAGATCGGATTTACCCAAATCGTCCAGTTCGTGCTGTTTGCGAGTGTTCGTGGGAGTCACTGCCAAAGACCCATCCTCCCAAAGAAGTCTAACTTAGGATGGTTCGATGGGGTGTTAGTGATAATGCTGTTTTCTTTATAGCTTCTTCCCACACCCAAATAAGCAGGTCCCTGCACAAAATTCTAGTGTCTGTGGAGTTACTTCTGCCTAGACCTTTCCTACCACCCGAGATTTGAGTCTGACGTGTTGGGAAGATGGCAAGAGGACAGGGACAGAGCAGTAGTTGAGGCTTTACACAAGTGAAGGAAACCGTGGGGCCACGCCGGGACTCTGCAGCTGGCAAAGTCTCGGGGATGATTCGAAGGCTTGCTTTCTTTTTTGCCACAAAGCAAAGCACAGGCAAGTGCAGGGGAAGGAGGTCTTTTTCTGGTGAGAGAGAAGTATGTCCTGCCCCCGTGTCTCGGGAGAATGGCACTACTCTGGTGGGGGGTCGTGTTCTGGGCACGGGAAGCCCCCCCGCAGCCTGCGGGAAGGTGAGCGCTCCCCTCACCCGTGTTCTTTCTGTTTCAGGCTTGAAAACACCTTGCCCAGTTTTGGTCCCTTCAAGACTTTGCCACAGCCCCTATCACACATCTGTTTTTCTCGAAGAAACAAATATAATAAAAATGTTTTACTCTTTTACACTGTATAATTTTAAGAAATAGTGTGGTGTTTGTGAACGCATGGTCTGACATTTCTGTACAGTTTGGAGATATTTTCAAACGAAACATAAAAGATGTCAACAATAAAACCAAGAGAGTGAGTATTTTTATACCAAACATTTTAAGTATGAGAGAATGGATGATCTTACACTGGGTTGGATCACAATTTTTGTGCTGGACTTTTGAATGCTTGTAATTAAAAATAGATATTTTTTTCCTCCAAGCTGCATGTTTGAGGCATGTTTTTAAATATTACAGAATTTCCAGAATCGTATCGTGAATGTATAGCCGTCCACCTGCCTGGCCTGAGTGCAGGGCAAGGCAGGAACAGAACGGCGAGCTGCAGCCCTACTAGGTGCATGCCCCCCCCCCCCCCATTCTAGTGGGACGCTCCCGCGGGACAGTCCGAAGCCCCCAGGAGCTGCTACGGCGGGGGCACGCTGACAGGCAAAGCAGCCTTGCATGGGCCCGCGTTCCTGAGCAGGGTGCAGCTGCCGAGGGGCCCAAGCACACTGTGCCCGGGTGGGTTCTGCCCTTCCCTGGGGTTTCTCCTGCTCCCGGCTCACCCTGACTCTTGAGACCCACTGAGGCCCACCTCCCACGGGAGCTGGCTGCTGCAGGCAGCTCCTGTCTCCCGAGTGGGAGGACTGCGCTGGGGCATCCCCCTGGCCCGAGGAGAGAGGGCGCGGCCCATGGGGGATTGCAGCGGACGCTGCTCAGCTTGCTTCAAAACCCAAGTCGCGGTGGAAGCGGACCCCTCCCCGGAGCCCGGCAGCTCAGTCTCTCCCCCTTGTGGTAGAAGAGCCATGTGTAAAAATAAACTGACCTAAGAATTTTCGGCTGCTTACAGGGCTGACCAGATCCTAGCTTGCTTAGTCTCACGTTATGCTGAAGACCAGTGTTTTAGTGATTATATGGTGGTTCTGGGGTGGGAGTGGATTATTTTCCATTAGAAATAAAGATATCAAGAAGCTTTTAAAGGTCATCACAAAAAGGGACAAGAAGAAGAACCAGTGTTGAGGGAGGGGCACGTCCAGCAGGGCGGGGGTTGCTCCGCTCAAACCCGGCCGCCGTCTGCAGCGCCCCCTGGCCCCTGCGGAGACCTCTGGACTCTCGTTTCTAAGGAAAACCGCACTGCCTACTATACTTTCATAAACTGTAAAGATACTTTTCTATTGTCATTTTTCAAAAATAAAGTGCTTTTTCCAGCTGCCACACCATTGCTTGGCACATTCCTTTCCGCAAGACCAAGCAGGAACATATCCCCCCCCCCCCCCCCGCAGCCCAGCAGGTTTCTTTCCTGTTCTCAGCGCTGACAAAGCTGAGGACTGAGGGACTAAGGAACAGGAGAGGGATGGGACAGCCAGGGAGCCACCTCTACAAATGCTCAGCTGGGGCCCCTGGTGCCACATGGACGCCTCAGGCCCCTGGCCCTTACTGACCTGGCAGGAGGATCCCCCTTCTGATGCCTTTTACTGCGCCTGCCGGACTCCACACCCACATCAGCCTGCAGAGCTGCAGCTCAGGATGATCTGCAATCTAAGAAGGGTCATTTATGGTTTTCTGCCAACTTCAGGGATAAGCCAGGCGTTGATAGCCATGAGGATAGTGATTATCACCCACCCCTCATCCCCCGAAAGGGAGGGGGGAGAATCCACAGTGCTCCATCAGAGTAACACCACCAACCAACAGTAACCATTAACTAGCCTTGGCGGGCACTGCCGTTTACGTCCCTTCTGCAAGGGAACCATCCACCGGAAGCAGGTCCCGGTCACGCGGTCCTGTGTCCGGGAGCGTCCGTATGACCGTAGAAGACTAATCTGCAGCTTGCCTCAGCCCATCTGGGACCTGCCCCGGCTGGGGCAGCGGACGGGACAGGCAGCTTGCCCCGAAGGAGATTCCCTTCCTCTCCAGCCTGCCTTGGGCCACTGTGCTGACGACCATAGGTGCCATGCAGGTGACAAGACCAGATGGTACTTACCAGTCTACTGTGAACGCAAGGCAGATTCCCACTGACCGGTGAAACACCAGCTTCGTGACCGTATGAAAAATGGTCTTTCTGTCATTCTGTCGAGTGAGAATACGCTCTTATTTTTTGGAATTGGGAACTTGGGATAAGAAAAAGGCAGGTCTGTTCGTTCCCTCTGCTTCTGTGCATGATGTCCCAGGTGTGCAGAGCCCCGGAACGTGGCCACTAAGCCATCTGGTTACTAAGTGACCCTTCTTGTTCTCTTGTTCACTTGTACCTCTTGTGAGCACAAGACTAGCTATACAACTGACACCTGAAATTAAACACTATGCCTTCCACCTCTGGGACAAAACTGCTAATTAATTTGGAAAAGAACCCTAAAACTTGCAAAATGAAAGTTACACTTGCAGATAATCATCCAGGTTCACCGGACCCAGCACTTGCATAGATGTTGGACCAACTGGCAATCACCACCCTCATCTGTGAGGTTCGCCCAAAGCCCAGGATCCCATGGCATCTTTGGGTCCTGACTTTTGTGACGGAAGGAACATTCTTGAGAATGGAGGAGGCGTGGCGGATTTCCCTGAATTCTGTATCTCTACACGGGTTTCGGGGCGACAGGAATCCACTAGCTACTCCCGAGGGCTCTGGGCAGGGCATGCTTAGTGTGAGGAGTGTGTTCGGATTTCCCCGTGTTCTACACCACTGGGGTGTCCGCATGTTGAGTAAAAAGGGCACTCCTACCCGGTTGGAAGAGTGGCAGCACGTGGTTGCTCTTGACCTTCAACCCCAGGTCCGGCGCCCTCTCCTGATACCACACACTTCCAGCATCCTTAGAAGGCACAAGAACACTCGTTACTGGAGAGGCATTATCTGAAACCATCCTCAAGACGCCTACACTCAAACACACTGATGATCTTGGGGTCGTGAGTTCGAGCCTCAAGTAGGGCATACGGATCACTTTAAGAAATGTGCACTCATTCGACACAACACTCCTGGGACAGCACAGGGTCACGTGATCCAAGGCCCAGTCAGTGTAGACATGGGTCCTAGAAGTCCTAGGCCCTCCCACGGAACACCTACCGAGACAAGCCCAGGACAAGCTCACAAAACACACGCCGGAAGGAACGTCCCGTCCTACGTGAAGCCGAGGACGGCAGTGCACTGATGATGGGCCATCACTGCCGTCCACACAACACCTCTCCAGCCTTGCCGCACGGGGACTATGCTGGCCGTGGCTTGTTAAGAAAACCCAAAAAAGCCTCAGAAAACCCAAAATCTTCCTGGCAAATGAAACCTATAAAAACAGCAGCTACGGGGAAGAGGGGACCCTGAGTCTCCGCTGTGCCACAGAAAATCGTCATTAGCTGGTGGGAATTGGGGAATTTATAAATCCGAATGCCATAATCCCCATTCAGAACATGGTTTGTCTGCTTGTGACCTCAAACAGCTCCCCAGACAAATCGAGGACTGCGTGTTCGCAGTGCCTTCCCCGCGAGCGCAGCCCAGAAGCAGTGGGTACCCCCGCACGGCCTTCTCGCAGGGACTCTGCTCCCGGGCGGCCGAGCCCTTCCATCCCCAGGTCCCACCGCCATCTCGCCACACTGCTAGGGGGTGACGGCAGCGGCTGGATGTTCATGATTACGTTTTGTCCGGGCACAGCTACATTTCTCTTAGCTCTCCCCTAAAAGCCTCGAATGATCGTCCCTCAATTACAGATCAAAACGCACCGCAGATTGTCTTCACCTCCGAAATCAGCCAGCCATGCCCACTCCCACTTGCTTCTAGGTGGCCAGCAGGTCCAGCAGAGAGGGGAACAGCAACAAGAACGGGACTTCCGCTCTAACTTGAATTTCGAGGGGCTGTTTTCAGACACCCAGAACTAGTAAAAGACGTCCTTTTGAATGCGACACAACCGGGGCCCTCTCACAATTTCCCACAAAGACTACATCTCTCACCATGTGTCACCAGGTGCCCCAACACCCAGACCACCAGAAGGGGTAGATGGAGAAATTTCTCTTCCACGTAGCAGGGAGAGGGGATCAAGGCATAACACAAAAAATCGCAAGTGAATGAGGTAAAGCTACAGAATTTGCAGGTGTGACAATTTAGCAAAATACTGCATTTCTCTATCTCAATTTCCTCCTTTCTGAAAGTTGAGACAACAGAAATCAACATGCCAGTTTATAACACTGGGAGCACAGGCTTAGCTCGAAACTACTACTAACACACCTAGCAGAAAAGTATCTGACCTTAGAGTCTGTGATGGCGGCCACCAGGTATGTCTCGTTGCAAAACAAGATGAAGTGTTCGAGATGCCCAAAATGCATTTCCAGACCTAACCAATGAAACAGGACGGTGACAGGTGACATCACCAAATGGTGACTTAGGTCATTCCTGACTTTGCTCCCCGTCACAAGAACAACAACTATACAAGGACAAGGCCACTGAGAGAATTCTGGAACACAAGGGGGAGGCTGAAGCACCCTCCTGCACCGTGGAGACCAAGACAGACCGTAGCAGAAGAATAAAGGGAGCAGCTACTCACTGTCTGTGCCTCCCCTCCCCTTGGCCTTATTTCCTCCGGTGGGAAAAAACTGCCAGGATGGCCAGCAAGCTTCCCAACATTGTGGGTCACTTCTTAGGAGCACCAACTCGGGTCCGGCTGCACCAGGATTTCAGGGGCATCTGCGGAGTTTGACCACTGGGAATCTTGACAGTGACAGAGAAGGGAGGAAGGGCTTGCAACAACCAGCACTCAGATCTTGGCAGCCCAAGCTCCTACCTGCAGCTCCCAAGCAGCAGTCCCAACCAGTAGCTCTGTTCATCTGCAGAAGGAAGTCGGTGATGCGCTCTGACCAGGGGGCTCAGTGGGGAGCAGGGCTGCCTGATCTTGGTCCTCAAATGAAGTGATTTTCCAGCCCTGGAGGGAGCCATAAGCCTGCCCAATGCTGAGTGTAGCTCTTGACCCTGCCTGACCAGAAAGTCCGGCCAGGATACGTGGAAAGCTGCA